CTATGTCAAATAACACAAGTTCCAATGCCACATCAGAACCATAGCCCTCCTATAGATGTTCTGCCCGTCCTTTCATCAACATAGAGGTATGGTTCCAAGTGTCGGCTTTCGTGATCATTATGGTTGGATCAATTATTGGAAACGTGCTCGTGATCACCGTAATAGAGAAAAACCTCGTGAGCTTGTGCTTTTTAAATCTGCCGATCATTTCAGTCGATACTGTTTCAGACGTCCAAGTAAGGATAACACCCCAACTCGGATTTATCATTACCAGTAATTACTATTGTATTTTGATACTGATAAGTTAATGAAGCCTCTATTTGGCGAGAAAACATAAACGGATATTTTTCCACAGACAGTATTGGATGTTTCCGAGATGCAGACAGTTTTCCGAGAGCAAAGCTCGAGGGAAAACTGTGAGCCTCGAGGAACAGATAATGTCCATGGACAAACATCCGTGCATGTCTTAGCGTCTATTACAAGCTATCGAGTTTCTTATCCTTCCAGTATTTGAGCAACGCGCCGGTAAAATGTATACGAACAGTTTACTGTTTGCCGCGCTTGGAATGTTTACTTTTCATTGTTCTCTGGTACAACATTACGATCAGACAAACATGTTCCTTCTTCTTTAACAACAGCTAAATGTCCTTTAACGCCCTAACAGTAACTAAACGCCTTAAACGAACGCCATTATCGTAGTAGACGTCAGGTTTGAAAATTGGCGAATACCATTCTAGGTATATTTTCGAATATTCTCCAGTCGTCGCCGGGGCATGTTCGGTCACGTGAGACGTTTAGACTAATCGCACGCGAGCATAAATATTTGATGGATTATAAAAGCTGATAATGGACACCCTTCTCTGCTAGGATATCGGTTGTGAATAAGCTGTACAGTAGGTTTTATTCATCGAAACCCAAAAGGACACGGGAGAACAAAGTACTTTTGCTGTATTGTTCCTTTTTGTTCTTTTCTTAACTGGGTATGATATAAAATAGGATTAATCAAAAGTTGAACAAAACTCATTCGGGAGAATTCGGGCGAGTAATCTCTATCAGTCCGCGCAAGTAGCACAAGGCTAATACTATTTGCATGTAGACACGCGATTACCCTTGAATTAAACAACGCTTAATCATAATTCGATAAAAATGCATGCATTTTTCAAAGGAAAGAAGAAATAAATTTGCTATTGCTTTATTATTTTGTTTGGTTGTAGCTCCCTAGGTGCTTTCTAAACTTAGACAAATAGTATGTTGCCTGGATTTCTATTCCAGTAACGAAACATTAGTCGTAAAATAGGCAAGAAGGGCACTGTCTCCTTTCGACTGATGTATTAATTCTTGTATTTGATCTGAAATTGGGCTGTTAACGAAATCTTTATTTGACTTTGATTGTTTAACATCAGTTAGATATAAAAAGCAGTGGCCCTTAAAATCTGTTCTAATTTTCATTGGCCACATTTTCAAGGTGCTAGTAAATTAGACAGTCCTGTTGCTCAATCGTCACATTAAAGACATTTATTCCTTTTCCTTAAAATAAGAATTCGAAAATTAACTACTTTGTACAGAATTGTCTTATTCTTATTAGTCTGTGGTCTTCTTCCTCGTGATAAGATCTACCATCATGCTTTTGAGATCCTTTCTGGCCTGCCGTTTTTTTAGGGAGAGGGCCTGGGGTTACCCGAGGTAAATCTATTTAACATAGTTTATTTCCTTGATTTGCTAAATTCACGTTTACTCTTAGTCAAGTTTCAATAGTGAAGACGCGTTATCAAAATGTGTCGCAAATTCACTTCGCCAGCTTCTTGCGTTATACAGATTGGCCTGGTAAGATTCTTTGCAAGATCCAACGATTCTTTGAAGCTTGGACAAACAATGCTTCTATCTTAACGATTGCGTTGATCGCTGCTGATCGATTCATCGCTGTATTTTTCCCTCTGCGTGGACCAATTGTTTCTCATAAAGCATTCCAGCTAATAATCGCCTCATAACTTCTCCCAACATCACCAGGGTGCATCTTTCTTTACGTCCATGATCTCGCTGATTACGGTGTAACTGTGTACATGTGGAAATATGGGAACCAACCATCCCAACGTACTATAATACAATCTACACAACAGCCGAATTTCATCATGTTTTCTGCTCTGCCCCTGTTGGAAATCATTATTCTTTACACCGCCATTATTTACAGAATATGGATGCAAAAAAAATGCCCAGGCAACGCGACGACAGCCAATCAACAGATAGAGTTTAAAGCAAAAGAGAACGTCCCTAAGATGCTCATTTTAGCTGTTCTCATATTCTCATTATACTGGCTTCCAATCAAAGTTTACACTATGATTGAACTTTACAGTAGTTCGTTTTGTTTGAATTCAACTCTGCACTTCCTTGTCCTTTTTTTGTCTATTGTCAACTGTGCAATAAATCCATTAATCTACATCGCATTTGTCGTGAAATCATAAATGGCTTCAAGAATATCGGGAAGTGTTGCCTGACTTTCCTTTCTGATGATCTCCCTGGTATACGAAGCACGCCCCAGCTTGGATTTAACAGAGAATCGCCATTCGGTAACACATCGTTATCGTGGGCTGAAGATAATTAAGAGGGTTGACTTCTTTGACTGAAGTCAAGGAAATGTCGGAATAGGCAAGTCGTGTTTGTTGGGCTTAGGGCCAGTTATGATTGGTTAACACACAATGTTAGATTAGTTTGATTCCATGATAACATTAAAAGGTAGAGCTATTAATTCAGACAATCGAGGCATGGCTTTCAGTCTCGAAAAAGTAATTTGATAAAATCTTTCCATCCATGTATATGATGTAATACTGATATTATCTTGTCGCATCGATATATTTTCTGAGGCAGCTCAACAAGTAATAACGATAAAAATCATTCAAAGAGAAAACATTTTGAATGAGAAGTACAAAGTTTAACCCGAATTTTTTTCTCAAAATGGTTTTGCTTGAAATATGCTGTTACATTTTTTGAAAGTGAGCCTTTGAGCATCAACTTACTTCTCATTCGTTTAGTGTTTTTGGTATCAGCAAAAGTCTTATGTTGTTAATCACCCATTAGCCTAATGGAGTTAGCTTCAGTGAAAACAAATTTCCAAAGGAATAATGTTTGTTTGCAGGGATGATATCTCCAAAGTCAATTTGTGGTTCTGCACCAGACTATAACTTCAAACTTGATGAATGCGAATTTAGGGTAATCTTGAATTTTGATATCGTATCGTTGAAGCTTTCTTTAATCTTAGGACTAGGAAAATAAGGAAGTTTTTTTCTTAAAAAATGCGAGTCAAGATCATCCACTAATTTCACAAGGTTACATTTGTTACGTGTAATTAGCAGAAGGTCTGATCCCGCATCTTCCTCTAATCGAGAAATTCATGGAGACCGTGATATAGAAAAAAGATTGTTGATTGAACACAAATATTTCCGGGATATCAGGTATCACTTCATCTAGTTTTCGATCAGGGAATCTGAAAAATTGATCTAACCCAGCACGCACGCTATAGTATCCCCACATCCTTATTCTCGTTAAAACAAGATAAAGCAAGCATGTACTTGGCTGCATATCCTTAGAGCAGAGATGTCCTGGAGCAAACTCACCCCCTCTTGAAGTTTTTTTCAACTCCACATAACAAGTCAAACACGGAGCTTTAATAAGCTCATCCAAGTACTTTGTCCTTGAAGTCAATGCATAAATTGTGATGACATATTTTTCCTAAAACGTTACAAATCTAGAAACGTTTGAGGGAAGGTTTGTGGAGCGGCTTCTCAAAATCGACATCTAAATCAACAAGCGTGCTCATGATCAGCGGTGTTGATTTCGTTCGGTTTGGCCGCTCAGGAAGAGTTCGGCTTTTAACCCCTGCCCAATAGCGCTGACTTTTAGTTGAAAATCAGCGACTGCTGCGTCGAAGATAGGAATAAAAATGCCGTTGTTCGAAATTTACCGAAAATTGTTCTATATAATGTCCTCAAAATCCTCGATAACATTGATTAATTTTATTTATTTTATTAAATTATTTTATTAAAGTTTATATTATTAAGGAAATTTCTCTATTGATATTCCCGTCGGATTTGTAAATTTCAAGCTCTTTATGAAGAATAGGAATGGCTGTGCACTGTTTTGGACTGGGAACCCTAAGAAGGAAACGTCTCTGCGACAGATGTTGATCTAGTTTGATTTTCCCCATTGCGTCATTATCTTTTGACGAGAGGCATATAAGTGCAATGGTATTATTAAACTTGCCAAACTGTTCCGGCTCTGAAGAGCCCGTAATTGTTGTCGGTTCTTTTTTCCAATTTTTCCGTCAGAAATACGTGACACATTTAAATACAGCGGAAAGAACTGCGAGGCAGATATTTATCTTTCCATCTCTTCCTTTGACCTCACAATTTTGCCTTTTTTTTTCACCCCCTCTTCACCTGCATCAAGAGCTATGACGTTTCTGCTTTGTATATCTAAATAAACTCATTTCTGATCGGTAACCAAGGATAACACATTTTCAAAAGAGAAGTCATTGGCGGTACACGAAAGAAAACAGTGTTTTCATTACATATGTAAAGCGCAGATTACAGTGACGTTTATGAACTTGGTGAATAGTGTATTTAATTTTTGTTGTCATCCAAGCATGTCTCCTTTTTTCAAAATAAAAAAAGAAGGAAGCAAGATTAACAATTCCCTATTGACACCGTGAAATGAGCCATGTGGGTTTTAAGTTCTGATTGTAAAATTTTTACCTTTTGAGCTAACCCTTCCGTTTCCAGCTGTACCGTTTACTTTAAGAGCAAATATAGTTCTGTCGCCTGTCCAATAGGAATCGCTTTTCACTGCAAGATTGGAACGTTTGTTTGCATTAGTGCCGTTCGTGATAATGGAAAACACGGCGCGAATTACTATTTTAATCTCCAACTCACGAGGATTTGATTAATGTAACCCTGATAACAAACTTATATTGATTTAGTTTACATCATTTCTTTAACTCTGGATAGAAGCAAAATTAGACGTCACGGCGCCGAAACGTAGGCTGATCTCTACTTAAATGTCAAAAGGAGCCTGACAAGTTATGCTAAAATTGTCAAAACAGAAAGGCGACGGAGCGGAACATTATCCTTGTAATCTACTACTTCGAACAGAACGATAAAGCTCTTTGTTCCACTCTTTTTTCTTCTATGAAGGTAAGGAGGATAGCATAATTAGTTTCCATTGAAGGATTTATAAAGGATTTACTCCCATAGCCGCCTCAGTTGGAACGCGGTGAATGAAAAGCAATAAACGTGTCACTTCATACTGAGCTTTCTACGAGATCATCCGCTCTAAAGATAAAATGGTTCTAGGGCGTAGGTTTCAAACGGAGATGAACTGACGGAGTTTCCACAGTACATCTGAAACTCTCTCCTCATGAACAGTTGTCCGATTCAAGTTATCAGTTTTAAAAAATAACTGTGGACAGGGCTTATTTCACTTAGTTTCCATTTATTTTAAGATGAAGATACGCTTTTGAAATGGTTCAACGTGATGTGGATCAGTTTAACCCTTCCGTGCATTGCCTCGATCACGTTTCGATATCGGCTACTGATATGAACTAGTCCCGACTCAACAGAATGGTGGAGCAAAATCAAACAAAATGAAAAGAAGGAGGCCGGCAATATAAAATTTATTTCAAGCTAGCTTTCTTCGAGCATTAAGATTTAGCTCGACACAAGTATTGCTATGAGGGAGAAAATTGAGAGGAAGTTGTTCATGCTGAAATTAATTTGTTTGAGGTCAGATCCTGAAGATAGCCTTTGAAATACAATTCCTGTTTGAATATGAATAGAGAAAACAGTGATGAAAAATCTATTCATGACATCAGTTCAAGCGAACCTTTGTTGTTCTTGTTCCGCTGATCACTGATAGCAAGTCTATATAATGCTTTTAACATTCTGCTGGCTTCAGCTATGAAAACATTTAGGTAAGATTGTTGAAGCTATTTAGTAGTGCTGCTAAATTTTTTCTCTAAGAACAAGAGCGAAAGCAGTGCTGTTAAGGTGATCTATCAGTTTTTGTTTTGTTTTGTTTTGTTATGATTTGTTTGTTCATCTTTTACATCTCAATTCCTTTTATTTTTCGTTAAATATATTTTTCTTTATTTTTAAATTATGTGGTGCGCTCACGCACTCAGTGCCAACTTTTATTTCGCCTTGGTTTGTCACGAATTTATTTTGTTTGTAGTGAGCCAACTCATATTTCAACAGGTCCCTACCTTCCAAAAGGGCCTATCTCGTCGCAAAAAAAAATTCCTTTTCTCATGTCCAATTCATAAAACTGCAAATATTCTCTAACGAAAAGCTATTCTCAATATTTTCTACTTGTGTATCATTTATGTTAATGATCTGTGTTATGCAGACAACGTACTTGTCTTTAAGTCAAAGTAATCAAAGCAAACGTTTACGCTTTTCCTTTTTCTTTTATTGAAAAGACATTTTGACACATATTTCCTTGTTCTTTAATCTCGTGGTAAAGAAGACGAAAATTAGAGAGGAAGATAATGTTGAAAGAGTTTACATATGTCAGATCATGTCTGCGAGACGAGTTTATCGTTCCAAATCAAAATTGTAAGAATAACTATCTTTTGGATAGTACAGAACTACGCACTTATTTTAACTAAAAACTAAATTATTCAACCCCATTAAAAAAGGTCCATATGAATTTTTCGATCATTAATCAAACACGACGAAGATGTTTGACTGTCTGAAATCTAAATACTATGATTTTAGGTTAAATAAATCAATTTGAAAATGGTTCGTATAATGACTTTTTGAAACTTCCGAAAGATTCATCGTCATTGGAAGTTGTTCACGATTCCATTGTACACAGTTGTATGGAAAAAATGATCAACTTTGATCTAATAGACATCAGAAGGGTAAACCACATTAAAACTGCAATACAAACACTTTCCAGGTTTCAACTTGGATATGAAATCGAAAACTAAGCAAGCCAGTGGGTATCTGTGAGGCAAGGGAGCCAATTTATTCTTGCCTTGCTAGGAGTGATACATGGGGCCTTAATTTCAGCCTCAACGCTTTCATTCCCAAAATATAATAAGTAATTAATTTTCATAAAATTGAGACATCTACAAAGGCACAAGTTAGTTGCTGAACCTTTATACTGAGGTCATGGAAGAGATCACGTTTGTTAACTCACGAGGTGATGAAGCTCTATGATTATGCTGTTTAAAGTAATGTTATTATTTCATTTATATATTTTTCCTATTTAAAGCTATGGCGTCCAACAACACCAGTTCCTGCCCTGACCCTGGTTCAGATCTCACTAAAGGAGAAGCTGCCGAGATCGCTAAAGCAGTCGCATACCTGTGTATTTTCATTCTGTCAACCGTAGGAAACTTTCTCGTGGTGGTGCTCATACTAAGAGACCGCCGCTTACGATCAGTCGCTATCAATCAGTTTATTGTGTCTATGGCAATGGCTGATTTACTGACGTCTTTGTTTAACATGACGATAGAAATCTGGATCCATATCAAATATTCCACTGGACAGCAAGTTTTCTGGTTGGATGGAGCTGGCGGTGTCATTCTTTGTAAGACTATTGTTTTTGTTCAGGGTCTCTCCATGGCTTGCTCAGTCCTAACACTTGTCGCCATGGCCGTAAATCGGTACTTTGCTGTCTTTTTCCCACTCAAAATGGGTACCACAAAGTCTCTGTCCACCTTAACCATAGTTATTATTTGGTTGGTCTCCACGGTCACCGCCTCGCCAATGTTGTACGCCATGAGAGTCATCGAGAAACCAGATGGTACGCTCCATTGTATCGAGGATTGGACGCCTGCATTTGACAGTAAGAAGTCTCACAGGAACTACACCATCTTTCTGCTAACTATACTGTACGCGATACCCCTCGTTGCTGTCACTATGCTGTACACAGCTGTTGTTCGAAAGGTTTGGAAGAGGCAAGTTCCAGGAAACATCACTGCCCCAAATCAGTCCGTAGAGCTTGTCACAAAGAAACGCGTTCTCAGAATGCTCATCACAATTGTGATCGTCTTTGGACTCTGTTGGCTTCCATACTACACTTATTTGTCTTTGCTCTCCATCATTCACGGCTGCCCGCCTGAGTACGTTTCATTCTTGGGTCTTTTCCTTGGTCATGCCAATTCCGCTATAAATCCATGTATTTATGCCATCTTCAACAAAGAGTGTCGTGCTTCTCTGAGGGGTGCTAAAGGGGCATGCTTTCCCACAATGCATGGAAGTCGCGTACCAATTATAGCAACAAATCAGAACACCGTGAGACAGACTGATTTGGGCTTCGAAGAGACATCACGAGGACAAGAACGAAGAACGCTTCTGATCCGCGAGATAAAGGAGATGAAGGAGATAACCCAGTCACCGCTAAGGATGTCTCCATTCAATTCCTAACGCCATTCACAAGTGCAATTTACGTGCTCACAATAAGAGACCAGTTCTTTCCATGAGAATGAACAAATTAATCATTTATTTGCTTTGCAGAAGGGGAACTGTTCCGGGAATTCAACCTTATTGAAAAAGGAATATCAACTGGGTTGAATCTTGTGACTTTCACGATAACAATACAATTTTTAATCTATTTATCTGTGCTATAGAGCCTCTCCGACCTGAACGTCATCGCTTATGGATTCTCCGAGGCGGATCCCGTTACCACTCTACGGTCGCAACGAGAAATTAAATTTCAATTCAATGTCGAAAAAATAAAAAGACAAAAATGTTATTTGTTGTTTGATAAAAAAGGTAGTCTCTAAAAGTAATAGGGCTTTGAAATTTAATCGGTACTATTAAAATGGATACAAGAGCTTTCAGACGTAAGGAAAAAAATTCCTTTGCGTTTTTAGTACTTTTAACTATTGATAACCAAATATCCGCTCAACAAATACCTAAGAAAAGTGTCTGTTATGGCGTCCCCAAAATATAAAAAAAAACTCGAAATAGCAAATCTTCTTTGTAATTTGAATTAGCGATCTAGCTGATCTAGAATCAGACTGATTTGGGCTTCGAAGAGACATCACGAGAACAAGAGCGAAGAACGCCTCTGATCCGCGAGATAAAGGAGATGAAGGAGATAACCCTATCTTCTTTGTAATTTGAATTTGCAATCTAGCTTGAAATCGTCGAGGAAAGGTATTATTACCGTTCGTTTCCAGCATTAAGCAACTGACCTGGTCTTTGTGATTTTTTTGTGTATCGTAAACAGATGATTAAAACTTGATCATTACAGCTGTGAAAAAATGAACGGCTTTTCACATAAGAACATTGAAAAGTCAGAGTCAGCGGTATACGGAATCCCTGTACAGGACATAATGACCTTTTTTCATTTTCTGGAAACATATTTAGCTGAGTTGCAAGCAATTCGCCATTATCTTAGTTTTGGCAGCTACTTTCATCGTCATTTGTATAGGAAGGGCTCTTCAGTACTTTTGAGCACAGTTTTGTTAATTCAGCGGGTGGATAATGAATTTGCACAATTCGAAGGTTTCATATATGGAGTACATGTCAATTGACCTCGTCCACCTTTTTTTACTCTCTGCCTCAATTCCCTCAATGGGGGGGGGGGTGGTGTGGGGCCGCTCTAGAGGGAGGGGCTAGCCGTTTAATATCGCAAGCAGGTGATAATTTTTTGGCTAATATTCGTGAGAAAACAAACGTAAGGACTCAGGATTCGCTTTGCAAACGTATTTTGAAACAGAAGAGGCAAGATTGATGAAATTCTCATCATGCATTGCTTTTCTGGCCTCTGTTTGTTTGGTCTGTCTCCCAGGGAATATTTAAGAACCGTTTTTTTTTTCCCTTTATCTGTGGGTCTTGATTATCTGTAATATTGAGCCATGCAGTATCAGTAAGACGGAAATAAATACTTAAGTTCTTAGTTCGAGCTGCAACGCCAGTTCCTTTCTCTTAATCATGAGTAGCACAAGAAATGCAATTATGAGTTTCTGACCTAAATTATTTCCGTTGTATTAAGCCCCACGCGAATGCCTCGCATCCACTAAGAATCACGCGACACTTGAACGACAAAAAAAAAAAAAGATGACATTATTTATTAAGGCTTTGATTTTTCATCATTGTAACACCAATTCAGTTTGTACATTGATGGTCTTCACATGGGAAAATAAACAGTGCTAAAATATACCTGAATTGTTCCTGAGAACTTGAAGTAGTTTCGTAATACATGCACACTTATTTCTACATCCGGCTCATCTCCTTAAAGTCACTCAGTTTTCAGAGGGAGAAAACCGGTTACTTATCAAAACATCAGTCACTGGTTAGCTTTATAGATATTTTTGCTCTGAAACTTAATAAATTCAATGAAAATTACGGCCAATCTAACTGTCGCTCTTAAAAACAGTCTACAGCGAATTATATATTCCGAGAATGAGTGCCAAAGTATTTGTTAGAGCAGAGCAGTGCAAAGAACCACGAAATTTTTCCAATCTAAATGATAGAATAATTATGATTTTAGTGATAATTTCTGCACCTTCATCAGGCCTCATTTTTTAATATTCAATCTTGGTAGTTTTAAGATGACTGCAAGCTTTAAATGGTTCTGTGATTTATTACAAATTGTCAATCCTAAAAACGGTTTGTTTCTAGGAAGCCGTTAAAAAAAAGTCGAGGTTATTTTCTTTACAATAATTTACATCCATTGTTGGATTATTTATTTCAGCAAATACCTCTAAAAGGCAATCTTTATGCAATGTAAATTATTTTGCCAAAATTGACCACGATAAGCCGAAAAATATAATTAGTTCAGTCTATAAATCAGTTCTTATTGAACGGATGTGATTTTCATTTGCGGCATTTGCGTGTAGGAAAAACTTGCGAATGGTTCATTTTATGCATTGTTACAGCGCTGCAATGTACAAATACTGGGATTTTTATTCATAGTACGTATCACATAAAAGTTTGTAGTATAGTCTACATCTCCTTAATTGTTATTTACTTTTTAAGCGAAATCAATACCGAGGCCATATTTTTTTCAAGCCGCTCATATCTGACAAAGTAACAAAGCTCAAGAACACGAAGAATGAAAAATATACATCAGATGCTCGTTTAATTGTTATTAAAAGCAAAAAGAAATATATAATTAAGACTTCTTTCCATATTCTTTGGAATCAAATAATGAACATTTATCTTATGTCAGGCGGGTTTGGTCCAATGTCAAGAGATTGTCGGAAGAAATATAAATATATATTTTTAGTCCTCTTTAAGCTTATCTTGGTTATATATGCAGCTGCTAGTGCGATTGTAGTTTTGATCTTAAAAAGGGTTAGGCAATCTTTACAGTGTAATAGGTGTCCACTCAGCGATACAGTACGAGTGAATATACGCAGTACCACTTTTTAGCAAACAAGAAATTTTGTTTTAAGCTTTTCTCAAAAGACGCTCGCCAAGGCTGGAGCTTATTTTTTTGTTCTAGCTTTCGACGGCTGAAACAACAAATTTCACCGTGATACAAGCCGAGGCAGATAGGTTAACCCAAAGAAAATGAGCTGAAATCGTCGTTATCAGTTTGTATCGTTTTCATTTTCACACTTCAATACAGACTGCAATCTGTGGACTGTATTGGTTTGCTCCTGGAAGAGATAAACTGATAGTAACAAGTTCTCTTGAGTCTTTTCATTGCTTCGCCAGCTCAAAGAAAAGGTAAGGAAAGATCTAATCTTAAGTTGTTCCATCTGAAAAACAACGCGAAAAAGAACCTAAAGTTGTAAGATTTATTTTCTCATTTATTTCAAATTAGAATGTCTGCTTCGTTTCTCTTTGATCACAAACAGTTTTCCTTTCCATCGGCAGTTGTTTCCTCTCTTCTCTCCTTTTCGGGTCTTAATATGTCACTGGGCTAAATTCTACAAAAAAGCTTAACGCAGGCAGTTTTTTTCTTCTAGCGCAAAAGTTTTTGAGGAGCCAGGAAAGTGGTTTACAAAAGTGCATGTCTTATATTTGGGAAAATATGGCATAAATCTAAGTTTACATCAGGCTTGCTGAAAGGTTATTTTTGAATATATTCGTGTAGCAGAGATATAGGTCAAGGGATAAAAGAAAACATCAGAAGGATATGAAAGGACAACCATCCGAATTCAAATAAAAGTGTAGCTTTTCGTGGAGTTAAATTTGAATGGCAATAAAAATTGTTGTAATTTCAGGTAACTCTTCGACTTGTAGGCAACCAACCATTTCTTTATGTGTTACGTTAATCTCAGCCTAATTGGTAAGAAAATCTGTCTCTACATATCGAGAGGATGAACGTCGTTAGGGCTTGAAAAACCCTGATTGTTGTTTTTATTACACAAAGGCAAACTGGATTGTCTTTCAAATGTTTTGTGTAGTGTGTCACCTACTCATTCGTCCCTGTCTAAGCAAAGACATCTGATCTGTGTGTTTTGAGTGCGTTTCTGTTAGCTTACTCGCAACATGAAGGTGAATAATTTAAATATTATGAAAAACTTATTGAGCTAGGTGGAACGTAAAAATGTTCTGAATAAAAGTATACATTGGTAAAGCAAAAATTTTGTAAATTATCGAAGAAAAAACTAAAATGATATTAAGTTTGCCGGACTCCTGTCGATCCTATATTTGACTTGGCTGTCTTTCAGCTGTGTTGTTAAAGTTTTCAGTTACCTATTCACTGTAAAAGTAAACTGATCTCCAAGTTACTCCCGATCATTCTAGCTCACTGCTTTACTCTCAATACAGCAATGTAAACACAAACACAAAGATACTTTCTCCTTCTGCTTACACAGACGTACACGTAAAAAAAAAACAGCTGATCGGAGTGTCTCCTAGAGGATAAAATTGTTTTGATTAAAATTGTACATTGGTAATAGCAAGTGATATGTAGTAGAAAAAAATCCAATTTCGTTAAACTTCTCCCGAATTTTGCCGACCATGAAGTCATCTTTTGTTTCGGTCACCTCTTTCGTCAACAGGTTTGATTGATGGCCAGATTTTGTTTATCTTCTTCTGTAAGATTACTCCTGAATGGCTCCTTAGCTTCTACTCTTCCACTTGCCACATAACCCCGGGATTAGTCACAGTTCTGCCAAACGTAATGAATCTTACCGTTATCCCAATAGATAGATTATACTGAAGTTCTCTTGCAATTGTTGTGAATAAATTGTTAAAACCGAATTGATATCTGTAAATCTATTGGGGTTATTCTGAATAGATCAACTTACTTACTTACTCTCACTTCATAGAAAAAAAAATGAATGACAACATTACCTTGAATACCACCGATTTACTCACTCACTGCGTGATCTCCAACTCGTCTCCGCTCCTACCCGTTTGTCAACTGTTGGCATATACGATCCTTTTTATCATGTCCATATTTGGTAACAGCATCCTCATCGGGGCCATCGTCAACTATCCCCGAACACAGACGATCATGAATTACTACATCATCAACATGGCAGTCGCTGACCTGTTGACAACAGTGTTTGACATGGCGGTGCAGATTTGGCATTACGGTTTGTTGATAGCAAATAAGCCATTTGAATGGTTTAGCGGTGTTTTTGGAGAGTTCATGTGCAAGTTTGTCGTGTTTATCCAAGGAACAGCGCAAGCTTGTACCGTTCTCACTTTAACTGCCATCGCCATCAACAGATTTCTTGCAGTGATGTTTCCACTGCGTCGTGCGGCAAGCAAAACCAAAGTGGTTATCATTCTGCTGCTCATTTGGGGATCGTCCCTCGCTATTGCGTCACCGATGCTTTACACTATGAGACTTCACGAAGGGCAAGGTGCCTTTTCTTGTATTGAGAATTGGGAGCCATTTTTCGACAATGCGTCATCGCCGAGACATTACACTCTGGCTCTATTCAGTTTACTGTATGTCGCACCTCTTCTGATGATAGCCATTCTGTACTCGGTTATTGCATTTAAACTTTGGGTGAGAACAGTCCCAGGAAATGTCACAGCGCCAAACCAATTGCTTGAGCTTGAGACAAGAAGGAAAATACTGAAGATTTGTATGACAGTGGTTTTTATTTTTGCACTTTGTTGGCTCCCCTATTATATTTACCTTATGATTCAATTTGTTCCTGAAAATAACGGCAAATGTTATCCCCCAGAATACGTAGCTTTCTTAGGGCTTTTTTTTGGTGACGCAAACAGCTCTATTAACCCGTTTATCTACATCATATTTAACAGTGAATACCAGAAGGGCATGAAAAAAGTCCTCAAGCGCTGCTGCATTCCTTGCAAGTCGAATAAACTGCGCATGTACTCTAGCAGAATTACACTCATCAGCTATCCATCCTTGCGGACCTTTAGGGAGCTAGAATTAACACCTATGAGACAAACTCTGCACCAAACCAACAGCGGATTTAAGCAAGGGTTTATCATTTCTTGATTTAAGTTTACGTGAGAAAGCCAACTGATAAATATTTGGAAATGTGCGATCACCATACTGACACACTGGGTTCTAACCTGCTGACCAGGTGACCATTCGCTCCCCCCTCCCCCTCCCTCCCACCCCACCCCAGAAAAAGGACGCTTGATTACAGGTTACATCCATTCAAACTGTTAAATGAACTACCCGAAGTAGAAAAAAAAACATGGAGAATTATAAATTGAATATGCTGCACGTGACAAATTTACGCATCGTCTTTTACACAAATGGAAAGCAGCTTACATCCCTCAAATCGTATGAATGAGGCAGTTTTTAAAACGCAGACCGACGATTGGCTCAGCTTTGGGTTTTAACTAGAATACGCGAACTGCTCCCTTAGCACCAGTTAGAAATAAAATCATATTTGCATCGATGACAAAAAAATAATTTACAAAAAAAAAAAAACACTTCTTTGGAGAGATAAATTTTATGTAAAAATTTGATCTTCATTCGCTTGTCAGACATGAATCCCATACAAAAAATCTGACACAAAATAACCGTATAGCACATAACTGTACAGAGGCCTTTGATTTCAATTTCATTAATCCGTGAAAACTGTTGTAAACTTACGTAATTAGCCGCTAATTTATGTAATCTTTTTGAAAATGTTTGTGAATGTGTTTCAGTTACCATTTTAATTATGAATCACATAAAGATATTTACAAGTTCATTTACACCATCGTTATAGCGCAACCTAGGAAAAGCATAATACGACCAGGGCACGTGATCTGACTGCACATGTTATCCTTAACATTTTAAGCGTCCTATGTTACGGTTTTTATTTATTGCCATATTAAATCTATTCATTGTCTGATCGAAAAATTAGTTGTACTTATTTTACCTTCTTATTACATGCTAATTAATCACTTCTGGTAATTAAAATGTTCTATTGTAACCTCCATTTGTTCATGAGAGCAGTAGCCTGCATTTATGTATATGTACATCGAACGAATCCATCGGTCTTATCCCAACAGGGTAACTTGGTATTATCAACTGAGTTGATAACATAAATTGGCCACCGTAAAGAGTTTCAAAGCTGACGTTGCGAGCGTTAGTCCTTCGTCAGGGCGAATGACGAAGGGCTAACGCTCCCAACGTGAGCTTTGAAACTTTTTACGGTGTCCAGTTTATGTTATCTACTCAGTTGATGAAACAAAATTACACAGATATACTCTTCCACAGATGCAGTACCACAGTTTTTTTTAGAAACTTATCCCCTTCTCTCACCCCAAGCCTCGTTTAGCGGTGCCAACTGGTAAATTTCATTGAGAAAGTGCTTAATATCTGAGATATAAAATTAACCTCATGAAGACAAAATGAGGCTGTAATATACCCACGATAGTGCTATTAGCAACAGAACTCAAAGAAAATAGAAGCTCCAACTTTTATCCACCTCATGTAATTAACAATTGCGTATTTGCATAGAAAGCTCTCCTATTTACTAGCATATTTCTATGAATAAGAGATGAATTTCCCTTCTGATGTGAGATCTAATTTCTGGCAGCTCTATTGAAAATGGTCAAGAAAGAAGAAACTTTTCGGACCACCAGGAAAAAAGCTAAGTTCACCACCTTAACCCTTTAGCTCCCAAGACATTTTCCCCTCTGGTTGCTATACATTTCCTTGTAATTCTGTTATGAGATTTAAGGGTTAGATCAAGATAATAACTTTTACCTGATAAATTAGAGTTTTCTCGATACCTTTTTGCAGGATAATGTATGAACTTTATAGGGAGAAGTTCCATGTAAATCACTTTTGGGAGTTAAAGGGTTAATCTATTTTTCAAATGCCACGACAGTCCTGGAAGAGGAAAGACATCGTGCGTAAACCAAATTTTAAATATTGTCATCTCTTACTTGAGCAATAATACTTATTACGTGTGAGATCAGAGCTGCTTGTGAATTTCCATGCATGCAGTCATGTTCGTTGTAGGAACTAAAATTCTTTCGCACTATTACGCTTTCCAGATTGTTTTTATATTTTTGAATACCAATCCAAAATACAGAGAGCGTGTAATTCATTCGTTGATAGCTTTTCTGTAGCTGCAAGAAGTTCTTCTAGTCGTCAATCTTCTGAAATTTCGTTAGGCTAAGACCGCTGTGACCATTGCATTTTACAGAGAAGCTTATCTCGCTCACATTTCTGGATTGGCTGTGCACACGAGGAACATCAGCGGAAAAGCAGGGTAGGCAGTGGCAGAGAGCCTTGAAACCGTTTCTAAAGTCCCGGCTAAATACAATGTAGATAATTGGATTTATTACACAGTTACCACAGGCCAAAAAGAGTGCCAGGAATCGACGAATAGGAGTTAACACACAGGGAGAATGGCTGTAAAGCCCAATCATGACATTTATTTTTACAGGAAGCCAGAATAATGCGAACGTAAGAACGGCTACGATGAGCATCTTAAGTACATTCTTTTTGGCTTTGAGTTCGACTTGTTGATTGGCTGTAGTCACGTGCCCTGGAATCCTTCGCATCCATATCCTGTAGATGATGGCGATGTAAAGAATGATGATTTCCAACAAAGGCAAGACATAAAACATGATGAAATCGGCTGTTGTATAAATTGTGTTATAGTACATCGGGATGGCCGGTTCCCATATTTCCATACAGTACACAGTTCCATCGAAATCAACGAGGTCATTGACGTAAAGAAAGATGCACCCTGGTAAAGCCGGAATAAGCCATGTCACAGAGATCAGCTGGATCGCTCTTTGGGAGTGAATTAGTCTTTTCAGGGGAAAAAATATGGCAATAAATCGATCAGCAGCAATCATTGCGAGCGTCAAGATGGCGGAATTTATTGTACAAGATGAAAGAAACGCTTGCAGCTTGCAAAGAATCTTTCCGGGCCAACCTGCAAAGAATGCACAGGAAAGTGTCTTGGCTAACCGAAGTGAAATAATGGAGAATTTATTGTATAAGATGATGG